AAAAATGAACTTAATACTATAGGAGAGGGAGAGATCAAATTCCTTCTCCCTCTCTCTAGGACTAACTCGGCATAACAAATCTAAATGAATGTAACGTCATAGAAGAGATTTCTAATCTTGAATAAAATGGGGATTCTTTCGGCATCGATTGACTTTTCGCATCAAAAAAGATTATATTACGAGCAACAACAAGTCCTCTTGATCGAACGATCTGGTCGAAAAATCACGAAGCGCAAAGTTCCGTCTCCGCGATTGCCGCGGGATATCGATAGCGCGGTGCGCTCGCGGGATCCAAATTTCGCGAGCAGATAAGAGCGGTCGTCGATTTAATTAAGTGTGCTAACGAGCGAATATATAGTTTTGCCGTATCGACTCTGCTCGACTCAGCTCGTTTCAGCTTCGCCCGTACGAAAAATTGATAGGTCAATCGTAGTTCAAGCTTTATCTAGGCCGAGCCAATGGCCGCGTGAGAGACCAAGGCCGTCTTCTTCGCACATAGTTTTGTAGTTCGGTAGTTTCTTGCCCGTTCGCCGCGATGCGTGTGTGGTGCGCGCGGTCTCTTCTCTCCCCCTCGCGGATCCCTCATAGTCCCCCATATCTTTTTTTTACTACTACTGTCCCTTCTCGAATCGTTAACTCGAGTGGGGAAACATATATATAAGCACCGTTTATATAAAAGCACCGACAGGTCTAAGGATACAACCAGTGCGCGTATTAAAGATAGCTCAACTGTGTTTACGAGTGTTTATGAAGATAGTGGTGGCCGGCTACATTCTTAACTTTGCGTTAGCGTGGTTGACGGCGACATAAAGTCATCTGCAGTAAAGGAAAATAGTAAGAGTCATCCACGGGCAATAGCTTACTGTATCAAAATGTATTCATGGGTAAAAATTAGTTAATGGGGAAAATACGTTAATTTTTGCTTCGAGACCAATTATGCATCGATCGACCCGACTTCTAGTTTTTAACACATTTACAGTTATTTAATTTTACATATACATTTAATTTTTTTCATAAAGAGGCTTGCGTTGCATTTTAATTTATATTTAATAACACGATATTTCAGTATTCTAATATCGCGTAACATTGCCTCCGTCAAAATGCTACCTGAGCAAAATGGGACTTTTAGCTTCGTGGTACATAAAAAAACTTAAGCAGTAAGCAAATTGTAGGCTATTCGACAACGGCAACTGTATGCGTGGCGAGGTGGACAGGAAAAACACAGGGATTTCTCGAATACTCTATATATTTGTTCTCTGTACACTTAAACACGTCTGTACGCTATGACACCGTGAGCTCTTGTGAGCTCCCACAACGACCGCACGTAAGCGTGGCGCCCCGAGGCTCGCGCCACTCGGGAGCTGCCCTCTAGAAGGGCGGGAGCACGTCGCTCGTTCAAAGCCCGGCTTCTCATACAAATTGACTAATCCCAGTTAACAATTCTCGAAAACACAAGATAACTATTGGTTAATTGCTTACCGCTTACGTCTCAATGCTTAAGTTTTTTTTATATCCCAGGATCCTAATAGCGAGACCCCATGTTCAAAATTTGCGCTGGCAATATTTTTTGTTTGTTTTAGACAGTTACCGTTGACTCTTCGTCAGAGAAACAGCTAGAGATTGAAAAGAGAATTAACATCGCATTATGAACAGTAACGACGATCAGGTATACAAAACAAATTCTATTCCTTTTGTACTTGTAATAATTCTTTCAATAATTAAAATAAATTCCAAATACATAATTACATAACTACAAGCATATAATTGAAAATATATCATGCAATAAAAAAAAGATTAATGTAATTAACACACATTTTTATATCAACCGATACTAAAAGTTCTTATTAAAAAATTTTTTTTTTCAGACAATCATGAGAAAAACATACAATATGTTGCTCCTTCTAGCAGAAATATTACTTCTTATTTTGAAAATTGTATATGATATTTGTGAAGACGTATACAGATTAATCATTCCAACGAAGAAAAAGAGCGTAGCTGGCGAAATTGTTTTGGTGCGTATGAAATTTTTAATATGAGCATTATATTATATGTATATATAAAAAGACATATTATACAAATAAATTAATTTACACATTGCTTCATCAAAATTTTATTTCGCTCACAAAGCTCTTAAAAATGTTGAGGAAGCAATGTACAAATTCTTAATCTTCTTCTTTTATTACTGTAAATAAGTGTTATCTGAAATTACATTGCGTGAGCAAATAGGAAAATATTTATCTTACAATTAGACTCTGAGCTGACATTCTTTATTTGATGACACATTCGTTTTCATATTTTACTAAGTAAATTCGTTCTTTCTAAAGCATACAATTCAACAAGAAAATTTAAATATCAATGATATTTTGAACTTTAAGAGTTTGTAAATTGTAATTGACAATTACACGGAGATAATTTTTTGTTATATTTTACCCTTAAATTCACTATAAACTTGGGACAACTTGACAACTAAGGAATTTTTAAAATATACAAAAGACGTTTTACAAACAATGTAATAAAAATTACCAAGCAGATTGGTAAATTTTGAAAAATTATTGAAATTTCCTAGATATATTTTAGTAAAATTAATCAAACATGTTTTATATTTTAATGTAATAGATATTAATATTTTTTATTATGGTGGATATTAATCAGAACAGCTCGCATAAAATTTTTGGTGGTACATGTCTCATAACTACCATGATTTTAGGGTAAATTTTAAGAGAAAATTCTCTCCGTGTATAATTATAATTTAAATTATATTTCATATATTATATATATCACAGATAACAGGTGCAGGTCACGGTATCGGAAAGGAATTAGCGATTGGCTATGCATCGTTAGGAGCAACAGTGATATGCTGGGACATTAATGAAGAAAGCAACAACGAAACAATGAACGAGATTAAAAGAATGGGAAGAGACGCTGTATACGCGTATCGGTAAATTGCAGCGATTTTTTTACAAGACTCGATGGAGTGAAAAAGCTACTCCGATAAAATTTACACGTGTATGAATATGTGTAAACGCCTGTTAAATTATCAGTACTAATTAAAATTTGGTCACATTTTACAGATGTAATGTAGCAGATAAGGAAGAAGTCTTTCGGGTAGCCGAGAAAGTAAAGAAAGAAGTTGGTGACGTTACTATCTTGGTCAACAACGCCGGCATAGGGATTATTAAATCATTCCTGAATCACAGTCTCGATGAAATTGAACGGGTCATG